ACTATATAAATGAAATTGAACTGAATTGAATGCAGCTGTTGAACAGACCAGACTGGTCAGTGACTCGTGTCTGCCATAGCTGCATCCTGGAGGATTCCAGTATTTGAGTGAAGTTGAGCCTAAAATGACCAAAAATCAAAAACTGAACTAGATTTGAGGTGAGTTTTAAATGCAGGCTGCAGACAGACTGTGCTCTGAACATTTCATGTTGAAATTTGTTAAATGGTAAATGGACTGATTCTTATAGAGCGCTTTTCTACTCTCCCGGAGTTCTCAAAGCGTTCTATACAACATGCCTCATTCACCCACTCATACAAGCACCTCTAAACACAAGTGCAAACTAAACTACATTCACACTCTGATGCATCGGAGACCAACTTGGGGTTAGTATCTTGCTCAAGGACACTTGACATGCAGACTGGAGGAGCCGGGGATCGAACCACCAACAGTAGCTGATCTGCTCGACCACCTGAGCCACAGCCACCCAGTTTCATTTGTTCATATTAATAAAATTCAGAAAATTAACAGATTTATCAATATGACAACACTATCATTAAATTGGGGTTTAGATGAATTACAATCAAGTATTTCACTTTGTGTTTGAGGCAACACAAAGACATCAGATGCTCTTAAAAAACAAAAACAATCTAATTCATGGAAAGAGGTCCAGGAATCCTGAGGATCTGAAACATCTGAGATCTTAGGGATCTCGGTCAGTCGCTGGCTGATCCGATACCTGCTGGTCTCTAATCTGGATTATAACATGAAACCAGTTAGGCATGAGTTGCCATGGTAATCTTCCCCAATAAGAAATGATTTGTAGTTCTTAAACCACTGGGTTAGTTAGCTGCATAAGACCATCCAGCTTTGAAGCACAAGCCAGGTGTAGGAAAATCTGACCCCACATCTTGTTTCAGTATGATGACATTGGCGAGTACAATATTAGGGAAACACAAATTTAATGAAAGTTAAATAAGTGTTAGGAGAGCAAGACATAGCATCTGAATGTTGTCTTTAATACTTGACATTTTAGATATGATATAGCCCTCATCATGATGGCTTCACTACATGTAAATACACCATCACATGTACAAATGTCGTGTGCTGGGTTTCATGGTTTCCCTCCTAGTAAACAACATTTAGCACAGACAATTTTAAACAGACGGAGGATGCAGAATGTTTCGTTACAACAGTCCGAGCTACAATGTGCCCTGTACATGGTCACAGCTGAGCACAACATCCAACACATGTAACACTGACTGTCTGTTAATGTACACTTCAGTGTGCACTGAGGCTTTTGTGGCGGTCTATTTCAACGGACAACTCCATGTAACAGCCAAACAGGTAGCGCAGGTTCCACTGTAACACGCTGACGATGATGGAGGGAAACAAAAAAGAACAGGATGAGGACAACAACAGAAATATAACCCCATCAGCACCATTTTAATTAAATACATAACATATGTAACCATTAAGGCAATCGAATAATCTGCCAGTGATGTAATTTTAATTATAAGGAAATAATATTTCTCTTCAACAATCAGTTTAAAGCCAAGTTTAACCTCATGTTACTGCTGGAATGTATCCATCTACAAACAAACATCCACACAAAGATGACAAAGACGAGGACAGACTGTACTGTACCAAACACACAGACAACGATAAGACCGTTACATAAACAACATGCAACACAAAAATCATCCAAGTGGAATCTTTATGACTTCAGGTTCATCAACACTGTTTTTCTTCTGATTGTGACAAAACTACGAAAGCTGAGAATTGTGTAAATATTCTGTGTAAAGAACGATTGTGTGGAACTAAGTTGAGATATCGTGTTTTCCAGCTTAGAGCTTTTTAGAAACACATTATTTAGGTCCTGAGTCATTCTGGAAACGTTAGTAAGAGGGCAAAAAGAAATAATAATTTAAACAAAATAAATCTCAGAATCAGTTTTGGGTTTGTTTTGTTTTTTAATTATACAATAAGGCTGCGTTCACTCTGCAGGTCTTGATGCTCAATTCAGATTTTTGGATCAAATCTGATTTTTTTGTCTGTTCGTTCACACTACAAATAAAATGTGACAGCAAACGCGCTCTAGTGTGAACGCTCAAAGCGGCCGCATGCGCAAAAGAAGACGTCACACACAACGCGCTCTGTTTAGACCCAGAGCAACAGTATGTTTGACTGATGGACCTTAATATAAAGACTTCGGACTTCACGTTTCCCAATTTTTACTTGTTTTTGTTATTTACATAATAATGTAAATAACCTAATAATGATCCTTATTGCTGTTTTAGAGGAGCGCTGCTTCAAAGGAT